TACGGGCTCCAATATGGTGGCCAAGCTGCTTTCGGTATGCAGTTTTGTATTGATACTAATTGAATACATAAACAATAATTATCATCTCTTTTCCAGCTGCAATTTGAATTTCTCTGTTGTTAATAGAGTGAATAAAACTTTCATATATTATGTATTTTGGGTTTTTTGAGTATTTTTCCAAAATTTTTGGTGCTTTTATTGCATGTCCAGAAGATATTAGCTGATTTTTTTTATAGTTATATACTATCACATTGTAAATTATTATATTTAGTTGTAATTAACCTTACAGCATTAAGAATTATACAACCTCTGGGGAGGGCAGTAATAGAAGACTGTTAAAATTTTAGACTTCTCCTCTTTTGTAATAAAAATCATTTTTATCCAAAAGCGTGTAACAGCTCTGTGCCCCACCATTATTTAGTCTCTAAGACTTACTTCACTAGCTATGTCTCTGGATGCTTTTGCTGACTTGAGGGGTATAGCATCAGGAGGAAGATCGTAGCCTTTTCTCTTCAGCTCTTCATATCCTAACTTGTAATGTTTCTGTTGGAGAAGGATTCAAAGTAATTATTGCATATAAAGCTCTCTAGAGAGTTTTTCCAGTACTACAACTTTCCTCCTCTGATTATTGAAAATAAAGTATGAGATTCCAAACAGTTTCATTCATGAAATTATACTCCATAGCTTGCTTTTAACAATGCACATTTTGTAACTGGTTATATAGAATATTTAAAAATTACTATCTCTGTGTTTTCTGATTAACTCGTTCAAGATCAAAATTTTCTTTACTTAACATATTAGTCTCAAAGATTCAGAGTCTTCTACAGAGGTGAATCCCTACACCCAATTTCAATTTCAATTTTTGTGTTCTTGAGTTCTTTTTATAGAGCTGCTAACATTTCTTTGCCTTTGCAAGTAGTCTATATTTGTTCCATTATAAGCAGGAATTTTATGTAAATTACATAATCCTATGTAACTCTAAAGAGGCAATTGAATATAATCAGACATCTTAATAGGAATGACAGACTTACTAAAAAGTACTGAACACGTATGTACAATGTTAATATGATCAGAAGGGATGAAAGAGAAGACTGCTAACTTGTGTTGAATATTTTCTTGGTATTTTTTATATTCTAGCAACTCCCACTTTATATTTTAGCAATTCCATTTGGGCTTCCCAGTGCATAACAAATTTCACAGGAAAAGATCACAGGTGTGCTTACAGCTGTTAGAATTGCAGAATTACTCTGCTACATTTTAAACTAAAGCCACAACAGGTAATTCCAAATTCCATAAAAGAAACATTGTAAAGACACACTTACATCACTTGTGTTAATTAAGTTTGACTTAGCCAGCAAAATTTCAGGAGTATCAGGCATAATGTGAACCTGAGTCTTGTCCTTGTCCCAAGCTTCTCTATACAGTATCTGAAAAGAGACACACAAAAAAATACCTTGTCTGATAAAAGGCTCGCATGCATAGCAGTAAATTCAGTTTACCTTTTCTCCACAATAGCAAAGAGGTACTATGCAAGCATGAGCAATGCAAACAATGCAAGATATTAAAGTCAAATAATACAATGACTTCTTACTCAAATACCACTTTTTTTTCTACTTTACATCTAGGAAATGTCAAGGAAACAGTGTTATGACAATACATTTACATACTACACAGTAAAGGGTCTTATTTGCAGTTATTACTGAATAATACAGCACTGAAGACTTTAATCTTCTGAGCAAGGCATAGTACTCCTTGACAACTGAGCAGTAAGGCACCAATCGTAAACATCTGATATTTGTATATTTTAAGCATATGTTCTGATATGGAGATCTTTTTAACAAATGTATTCATCTATTGAATCACATGTTCCGTCTCTAGAGGCAACTTACATCACTTCTGTTTTTGGCATTAGATTTTGCTAAAACGATATCCATGGCATCTGGGATACTTGTGAACTTAATGGTATCTGGGTGCTGCCGGTACTTCTTTTCACTCAGTATTTCAGAAGCTTTCTTGTTCTTTTCAGATTCCAAAGATCCCAAAGGACTCCACCCAAGGCCTCTGAGCCATTGCAGATCTGATTTATACACATTCTGTTAAGGAAAATAATCAAAACCATAGTGGATTATTTCCCTGTTCATTTGCCAAACCCTATCAAAAGGCTAACTGGTATTTTAGCTTCAATCTGATCTATACTGACATCAGAAGAGAGTTATTAAAGCTACTTTACAATAAGCAGTAAGTATCTTACAAAAAAAATAATTATTAAATCCAGAGGAACCTTACATCACTCTGTAGTTCATAGACTCTCTTTGCCTGGGTGACATCATTCTGGTCTGGCAGACAAGTCCAGCGGTGTAGCATCTGTTTGTAGTCTATATCACTAACCAGTTCCTGACATTTCTTAGCCAGAAGGAAGCCTAGCATATCCACAGGCATATTAAACTTTGTCTTCCATTTTTCAAAATCTTTCTTGTACTCCCTCTCACTCTGCATCTTAGCTACTTGCATAGACCACAACATCTTAGGATCATCCTGTAGGCTGCGGAATCCGATGTGATGTCCCTGCTGCTTGCGGTAACCTTCTTTGTACTTGTACTAGAATTATAAAGGTTGCATTACTAAAATTCCAGTAAGAAACAGACAATGGTAAAATATATAAGCAAAATATCAATATATTCACTCAGTTCAATGTTTCTCATTACCAATGAAATGAGCAACTTGTTATGGCACCTCATGTAAAGATTTAGTAGCCCCTTGATTAATGTGCATCACTTGGTGTCAGTGAATGCTCTCCCTGGGAATAGAGTCCCTGGAGAGGACGAGTGCATGGCTATAATGGTCTCCTGTGCCATCTGAGTCCTACAGTCACACTGTTCAGAACTCCCAGAGGCTGACACACCAAAATATTTTGATGAATAAAATAATCAGCAATGAAAAATGCAGATGCTTAAGCATTTTAAATATTTCCTAAAGATTAATAAAATCTCTTCCATAAATGCAAGGAGTTGTATTGATATCCAGTTATGACAACAGCAATACATGTGTCGGCACATCTATTTCAGAGCTGTAAAGAGGATTTCTCAGTCTAGGCACTGGGAGCAGCTAATTGGACCAAATCTGCTGCTGCTCTGAAAATGTAAAATCCAAAAGAGCAGACAACTCCTAACTTTGTACAACGAGGCACTTCATGGATGGACCACAATCTCTGGAATTGCCAAGATGGCAGAGCAACCCTTATTAAATTATTTTCTTCACTGACAGAAAAGATCAGGAAAGAGTTTTGTCAGTAATTTTGCTTTTTACTCCAAGTCACACCTTAGCAGAGAGGCGTATCTTGGTCTAGTGTGACTATAGGTTATAGCAACTAGACAAAGTGTATGTCATATTGAATTAGACATGTTGCTTACGTCACTTGCAATGTCCCTTGAAGCTTTGGCAGCTTTGACTGAAATGGCTTCAGGTGTGAGGTCATAGCCTTTCTTTATCATTTCCTCCCAGCCAAGCTTGTATAGTTTCTAAAATTGAAAACAGTATTAATTAAAAAGTCTTAGTAATACATATGTCACCTTCTATTTTTATATGCTAATGATCCATATTACCAAATTCTGGTCACCTCAAAGGCTTCAGTTATAAGAGAAGGGCTACTAGAATGGGAACTGAGAAATGGGAAGCTGATAAGCAAGGAACACAAGTCTTTCAAGTCTTAGGCTAGTGACTAAATAGCTTTTCTTTACTGCAGCAGCTTCCTACTGTAGCTTATCTTGGGGATTTGAAACATATCTGGGGAATTTGAAATATATACCTCCATGATAACTGAAAGCTTTTCAATTGGTGTAAGAAAATTCTAATTAATAAGGCTGTAATGTAGCCATTTAATAGCCAATTCAGTCTGTGCACAGTTGATTTTAAGTACGAGCACTTGCAAGTCAAAGATTTGCCCCTGAGCAATCACGCAAAGCAAAACCCAAGTATTTTATACTGGCACAATCGTCACTTTCTCATATTTAAAAGCTGACAGAAAAGTTAGAATCACTGCATGTATTTCTTCTGCCATATGTTAAGTTAAAAATATGAACACAATGAACTTGTAATTTTACAGTAAGGACTTTTACATGATTTATTTTTATGGTAAGCATAGAGTGTGGACTATGCACATCCAGATTTAAAAAATAGGACTTATATTTTCCATATATTATAATGTAATTTAGGCTGTTACTTTGCTAGCCTGAAGATGGTACTTATTGCTACTCTGAAAATATTACTCCCATAAAAATTCTTGCCTCTGTTCGAAATCCCCCATTCTGTTTATTCTAACTTATACAAATTAATTACTTATTTTGAAATGGGAGATACCTTTAAATTTGAAGAAAGTAGGTATTAATGTAAAATGTAATAGGAAGTATTAAATCTACCTGACTGTAGTTCGCCTTGTTCTGTTTTGCCTGTAGAATATCTGGTGTATCAGGCATCACATGAACCTGAGTTTTATCCTTCTCCCAAGCTTGAGTATAAGCATGCTATTGAAAAAAGTAACATCAGATATGTTAATATAAATTATAAAGGCTGGCTTTTTCGATATGGATACAGACAGGTAAAAAGATGAAGGTGTTGACTTAGATCTATTTTACTATGTAATGACCTAATCCAGAATCAGCTGAATTAGGATCCAGTCTTGCTTCTAATGAAGTCCAACTATCAAGATTTTCAGGGCCAATAATTCTATACAAGAATGAGAAGAAGAAAAGTTGGAAAGGTAGCAAGGAGTAAAATGAGAAAACATTTATTTAATCAATGCTATTTATCAGTAACTGAGGATTTCATCAAGAAAAAAAATTAAAATAGGGGAACCTGTAAGTGACAGTTGCTTTTCCCAGGGAAACACTGCTACTTAAAGGTGGTGACAGAGACTTACAGACTGTTGATTGAGATGGATTATATGTAAAAGTTTGCCTAATTTTGCCTATAAATACTCACTTTGTTCATTATATTTGCATTCTGCTTTGCAAGGACCATGTCCATGGCATCATTCTGTTTTGTAAAGGGGAACATGCTGGGATGCTGGCGATATTTCTGATCACTTGCAATTTCTGTGGCTTTCTTAGATTTCTCCACATCCAGAGAACCAACAGGACTCCAACCGATACCTCTGAACCACTCCTTGTAGTCCTGCTTGTACTCATTCTGCCAAACAGAACACAGAGGAAAGTTTTACAATTTACAAACGGCTTAAATAATTCTGTTGCTTCCAAAACACAGCCATAATGAAAAAAAACAGCACAAAAAGTCACAGCTGTGAATGACAAAGAAAACAGAAACTTACGTCACTTTGTATCTGATTCATGTTTCTGTACAGTTCTAAACTCATTGCATCTGGTAGAAGCATATATTGGTGAATCAGTCGCTTGTAGTTAGTATTGGTTACACGATCTTGTGCCTCCTTAGCTGCCACAATGCTGAGTGTATCAGAAGGCGTTTGGTAATGGGTCTTGCTCATCTCATAAGCTTTCTTGTATTCACGATCAGACTGCATCTTAGCCACTTGCATATAATGGACAAGTTTGGGATCATCCTGCAGGCTGCGGAAGCCTACAAGTTTGCCCTTGTCTTGTTCATAACCTGATTTGTATTTATACTGTAAAGTGAACAGAGACAGAGACTTTAATTCTATTTCATTTGTTTAATAAGAAATATCTATCTTGTAAGGAAAAAAACCCCCAAACTTAGATTAAAGTAAGATTTTTATTTTGTTAAGAAAACATCACAAAGCGTATAGAGGTGGTGGCTTTATCCACCTACTCAGGGTGTACTCTAAAGCAAAACAGATGTCTATTGTCCCTCTTAAAAGCAGTACATTTAGAATACTTCCTTACATTCTCTTTATTGTAAGAAATTTTCTTACAATAGTTTATTCTGCTCCTGCATAAGGTTCAATGTAACCTGAGGTTCAATTGCTTTCTAATCTCATTATAAATGACACAATGAAAATATGAAACACATTCACAGAAAGCAAAAGGAAAAGGAACACATAAGGCCTGGTTTGCTGAAGACAGTTCTTTGGAAAAAGTGCACTTTTTATTCTTTCACACTATAGTGTAGAGATAGCCATATTAGCTCTAAGGGGAGCTATCGCAAACAGTAGAACCAAGGTACATTAACCGACACAGTTCTCTGTTACTATTTCTATCCTGCTTCCAATATTTGGCTTAGGTAACTATTTTTGTGGTAGTCTGCACCATACTTAGCATACTTGAGTTCATATCTAAAGACTAACCATACAATCAGATCTCTAATCATCACTTCCATTAGGTTCACTTGTTCAAATAGCTACAAAATTCAAGACACTTCCCAAGACCTTTTGCATTTTTTTGCTTAATAAAACCAGTAGTTCAAATTCTTAACCCTTCCTCAATCTCTAATCAACTCTGGACAATGAACTACACAGACCAAGTATCAATTCCTTTTTCCTTCACTGCTTACTGCCTGGAGAGAACTCAGAATGGAAGTATCCTCCCCTCAGACTTAGAGCAGTGGCAGAGCAAACTGACTTTGCATTGGCTCCAACATCCCCTATGTTGTCCAAAAAAAAAGAAAAAAAAAAAAAAAAAAAAAAAAGGTGGGCTAAATAACATGTCTTTAGGCCCTAACTTCACCCCCCTCTCAGGCTGGATTTGCCCCTGCCACAGCAAATCCCTCATCACTGATACACAAAGAATTTCAGAATGGTCCTGATTCCAGAAGCTTGTATTCTCTGCACCAAGAAATTTAATGGGACTTTCACCAAAGGAACAAAGATAAATGTACCACAGCAGCAGAAATAATTTAAGTCCATATCTGTTTTTTTTCAAGTATTTCTAAGAATGATCTCTGAACATTCTGTCTAAACTACAAATATACAGCATACATTTATAAAGTATCCAAGCACCATCACATTCAGGAATGAACCGCCCTTTTGTTTTTTTGTAAAAGTCCCTCATATATCTCCTTACCTTTCTAATGAAGAAATTGTTCTTTAATCCCACTAGAAAATGTATTAGAATATGTATCAAATATGTCAGAATTATTTACAAGCAAAAGAATAAAGAGACTTCATATAATTGGCATATACAATTGAACTGTGTCAAAAATGAATGTTTTATAATATCTGAAATGGATCATTTTTTCTCTTAAGGACTTACATCACTAGCAATATCCCTAGAAGCTTTGGCAGCTTTAATAGGGATAGCATCAGCTCTGAGATCATATCCTTTCTTCCTAGATTCTTCAAATGAAAGTCTGTACATTTTCTGTGAAAAGAAAGAAAAGAAACATCCTTTAAGAAAGCAAAACACTCCCCTCTTTCTTAAATAAAAGTATTCATTTTGTAACTTGAAACAGAGTCTATTTATATGTTTAACACTCCTTAAACAGTTGTTTAAGGTACTCAGGCATACAGAGAGATGAATTATCCTTCAAAATGAACGCCAATCCTAGTATTCATACATCAATGCAGCTGAACTGCACTATAATCAGTAACAATAATCTATAACAAAGGAGCAAGAAATTGCATTTGTTTCCCACATGCACAAACCATGGTGAAAAGTTACATCTATAAGGATGTTAGCTTTTAAAAAAACGAGATAAATATGTCTATTTCTGTGCACAATTACAAACAATACTTTCTTTAGTACTTGCAGATTTAACTGGCTACTGAAAAACTGTCTATAGTATCATCTGTTACCGAAAGAATAGGTTCAATCTGCAAGAAAGAATTTTGAATCCAGTACAAAACTTTGTGCATGGGGAAATAAAGTAATAAATACAGTAATAAACATGGATAGTACTCAAACTCTACTATTTGTTAGTAACTATTATATCTTAATGACCTACATGAACACTTCATAGTCTGACTATAAAGAGTATGGCTTTTTCTCGGCAACTTTTGGTATTTAATTTTGGGGAAGGAAGCAGGAAAAAGGAAAATTAATGGCTTTTTGTGAAATTACTACAAGTTGGCAAAGTGAGAATTAGGGAGACTTTCGTATCCTACCATCTCACTTATCCCTAATAAAAAAAAAAAGAGCATTGTCTTAGTCTTACAAACAGTACTCACATCACTTAAATTAAATGCATTAGCTTTTGCTAAAGCAATCTGTGGGATATCTGGTGTGATATGAACTTTCTTTTTGTCTTCTTCCCATGCTTGTTTGTACTTGTGCTGGAAGGATAGAAAAACAAGAGATGTCAACATAACCAAAAAAATAAATAAAACAATTTAAAGGAATATTTGCAATTCGAAATATAAACTTTCTTTACAATGATGCAACTACTAACATGGTAGGAAGATTTGTCTTTTTATTTTAGCATTTAAAAGCAGTGTGAATCTGGAATAGCTCTTAATTGTGTGAGGCCAAAATAAAAGTGGAAGAAATACCGATCTTGCTAGAGTATTTTATTGCTTGCCTCTTGCCCAGCAGCGTATTCAAGCACATGCAACAGCAGAAAACAATAGGTTTCAAAATGTACTGGGTCTGGCTGGGATGGAGTCAATCTTCTTCATAGGAGCTCAAACGGTGCTGTGGTTTAGGTCCGTGACTAAAATAATGCTGACAGCACACTGATGTTTTAGCTGTTGCTGAACAGTGTTTGCACAGTATCAAGGCCTTCTCTGTTTCTCTCTGCCCCCGTAGTGAATAGATTGGGGGGTGTGCAAGAGGTTGGGAGGGAACATAACCAGGCAGATGACTCAACTAACCAAAGACACACTCCATGCCATATAACGTCATGCTCAGCAAATAAAAAAGGAGAGGAGGGGGTTTAGGGAGGTTCGACGTCATGTGCTCAGGAACTGGATGGGCATCAGTCTACCCATGGGAGGTGGTGAGTGATTGCTTTCCATCACTTGTTTTGTTTTCTTTTTCTCTTCTCCCACTTCTCCTTTGCTTATTAAACATTTTTTATCTTGACCCACAAGTTTTCTTGCTCATACTCTGCCTTTCTTTTTCCCCCATCCCACCGGGGTGGCAGGGAAGAAGTGAGCATATGGCTGTGTGGTGCTTAACTGCCTACCGGCTTAACCCACAACTCAAAGTCAAGTCAGAATGTATAAAAACCAAATTGTTAGAGGTGGAAGATTATTAGTTTATCTCCTGGAAAAAGAGTATCAGCCGAGAGAGGTAATAGAGCTTTACTTAGAGGAAACAGAGATAAGGAAATTGCGCATGATATTCCAATGGTCCCTGTAACTGCAACACACATGAACTCTAGACATTTCTAAAGAACTCCAATGGATTACATCAGTTCAGCAGAAGAATCAGAAAATAAATAGCTCATTATAAAAGCATTCACATCATGCAGCAATTTCATATTAATGTAACAGGCATCAGATGAAACAGACTATATATTTAAAAGTCTACATCCTATTTCCAAAAGGGATCACTCCACTATTTTTAGCCCTTAGATTTAAACTGCTAAAAGTCTATAATCAGTTATCTTGGGTAAATTTTATTAATAAAATGTGACCCCTAAGTCTGTATTTATACATATTTCTTAGAAATATTAGGGTCATGCTTTGCTTTCAGGTATATCAAAGGTCTATTAAGATGAAACACAATCACAGTCAAGCATATTCATTAGCTGCCAAGATTGATGATTTCCAAAGCTATGCATCCAATAAGATTGACTATTACATCAGGTATAGTTTTTTTAATACTTCTGCAAACTTAAATGAATGTTGATGAATGCTTCCTTACCTCATCCATGATTTTAGCATTATTTAAAGCTAAGACCATGTTCATGGAATCCATAGGAACAGAATACTTCAACTTGTCTGGGTGCTGGCGATACTTCTTTTCACTAACAATTTCCATTGCTTTTTTGTTTTTCTCAGCTTCCAGGGAGCCCAGTGGCATCCACCCAACACCCTTCATACTTTCATCATATTCTGCTCTGTACTGGTTCTGGAGGTAGAAAGAAAAGAAAATAATCAGATGCATGAAAAAGTCTGTAAATCATGACACTTCCTTCTGTGTTTAATGAATGATTTTGAATGCACTTATTCTAGAAAGGTGCAAACTGTATCAAGATGCATTCAAAGTCTATTTAGAAACACGTTTGTTACAGTGGTGCCTGTATTTTATTACTCCACCTTTTATACAACATTCAAATCCTCCTTACGATATATACAGATTGCTCACATGAGATTTCATGCTAAGGCCCTCTTGAAGAAGGGGAATATCTTGAACCACTATACTGAGAAAAAAAAGCTCTCTAAAGGTTAAACATCCCAGAAACTCTGAGAATATAGCTACTTAGCTGCTTTCCCCTTCTTCTGAAAAGCTAGCTTTTTGGAAGTACAAGAAAAAACTATTAATGAAAAGGGAAGCTTTTCCTGTCTTGGCCTGCACACACCTATTGCTCCCGAAAAGCCTGATGGAACGTGTAAGCAGTAAATATCCATTGTACTTTAAACATAAAATTACTTATTTCTTAGCCCAAATTCTTTAGCAGTAAGTTTAATTTAATATTTCAGAGTCTCAGAAAAATACAATGGCTATCATTGCTGAAGGTCTCATTTAATTTACTACATTTTAGTATAGAACTGAATTAATTTCACTAAGAAAATAGTACGACTTATCTTACAGTATGCTTTCATAAACTAAGCATCATTGTATTTGCAACGCAAATGTTGAAGAATCTCTCACTTACATTACTTTGTATCTGCATCATGTTTTTGGCTAATTCAAGACTCATAGCATCAGGTAAAACATTGTAGGTATGGATCAAGTTTTTGTAGTTTGCATTTGTAGCCACTTCCTGTGCTTTCTTGGCTGCCACGACACTGACCATGTCAACCGGAGTATGGAAATTAGTCTTTGCCTTCTCATAATCTTTTCTGTATTCACGATCAGATTGCATTTTAGCCACCTGCATGAAGTGTACCAGCTTGGGGTCATCTTCAAGGCTGCGGAACCCAATATGTTTTCCTTTCTCTTTTTCGTAGGCTAGTTTGTATTTATACTGACAGCAGGGAAGAGAAAGAACAGCAAAAACTTAAATCAAAAAAATGTACCATTAAGCTCAATTTTACCTCTGAAAACACAGAAAATATTTGCTCTTTTTCATCACGAGATCTCAGGTTTAGTCATTTAAACATACTCAGTCTTACAAAATGGTCCATGAAGCTCAGCAGCTTGCTGAACAAAGAGCAAAAAAGGACAATTCAGTGTTATTCCACTGGAGAGCAAGTACTGCAAAGGTTTATCCCAAGCATGTAATTGAAACCTAGACAACTCAAGATGCTTGAAAAAACACATTTGCACATAACAGAGCACTTTGAAAACATTCTGACTGTCTTTGTAGCTACTCTGGGTAGTATTGCGCAATTAAACTTACATCACTTGCAATGTCTCTGGAGGCTTTGGCTGCTTTTATTGGAATAGCATCTGGCTGCATGTCATAACCTTTCTTCTTTTCTTCCTCCCATCCAGCTTTGTAAAGTTTCTAATTTAAAATGTAAAAGACAACAGGTACTCTTATGATGAAGGCAGAACTACTGAAGTACCCTACCTCTAAATTTAAATATTTTCAAAAAAGACACAAAAATTACATCAGTTTTTGATCTATGCAACAGACACTGAATGCCCACTGTGAGCATGGTAACTCACATTACTCATGGTGATCTGGTTCACTCTAGACTGCAGAATTTCTGGAGTATCTGGCATAACGTGAATGCTGGTCTTCTCTTTGTTCCATTTATCGGTGTAGAGCCTCTGCAATTACAGAGTAATATTCAGCATTGAAAAGGCATTGCACTCATAAGGGCTTGCTTTTGTTTTGCTCATTTGGAATAAATAATATTTTACAGTACAATAAAGTTCCATAAGCACTACAAATAATCTTCACAAATATAAGTGCCTAGTGGCAATATCATATTCCTCCTCTTTCTTTAGTACTTTATATGAGAAATTTGGTATGTCTTGATAACTAATAAATATAGAAACTTAAAATTTTCAGTCTGCTTTAATACAATGCATAAATTATTTTTTTTCACACTTCCTATTCCCGTGGCAAGCATGGAATAAGGATCAGAGGTCTTTCAGATAACTATAGACAAATTTAAAGACCTCCACTTTTCAAGGAAAGTTGTACAAAACTGACGGAATTTCAGGTTTTTTTCAGCTCACTGATTGTGAATACTACTTTCTGCAGAAAAAAAGAGCAAAGATTACCAAAGCACAATAAATCTGGAGAAAACATCTTTAATCACTTACCAAAAGAGAAATCTTTATAAACAGAAAATGAAACTCCCTTAATTAGGAATATAGTCTGAGGCTTCCATCATCTCTTAGTGTCCAGTCTTAACCAAGCAAACCACCATACCCATTTGAAAGTCTCAGGACTTCAGTGTGAATGCACCTGTCCCATAATTTTGCAAGAACAATACCCAGTTTCTGGCTCAGTCATGATCATCTGAACAAATTCTCACCTTATTCATGGTCTTGGCATTTTGCTTAGCTAGCACTTGTTCCATTGCATCCATTGTAATAGAATACTTCAGCTTGTCAGGGTGTTGGCGATACTTCTTTTCACTGAGAATCTCTGTAGCTTTTTTGGCCTTTTCTACATCCAGTGACTGAGCTGGTATCCAGCCAACTCCTTTCAACCAGTTATTAAAGTCTGCTTTGTACACATTCTTTTAAAAAATAAACAAGGAAAAACACAGTGAATGCCCATATACATAAAAACAGGTAAGGCTTTAAAACTTCTCCTTGTCATTTATTTTGAAGGAAAATTTAGACAAGCCTGTTATAAATGCTATTGTTTTTCAAATTCTTAGCATAACATTAACAACTATTTCTGTGTTAGGGATAAAGAAATTCTTTTCATTCAACCAATGTGTAGAACTCATGCTACAAACCAAATGCACAAACCTTACAACAAATTTTGAGTGGTAAATATGAAAATCTGCCAAAAATATAATTTTTTGTAAAAATAGACTTCTTTGTTAATAGACTCAGTTTGCAGTAGAATTAATTCAGAGAAATTCTTTCAACAACTTCTGCTTAATGGCCTGGTTCTGCACAATCTTGAATAGGCACCATTCCTATTTAATCATACTTTAAACATGGTGTTTACAACAGATAAAGGTACAAAAATGCTGTGAAAATAAAACCTGTTCCTGAACTGCAGTGTTAGAAGTAACAGGGACAATACCAGAGTCTGAGAAAACAACCGCATAGTTTCATAGCATGTGTATACAGGGCAAAATTTGTCCTCAAGTATCATGCTTCTCTCCTTGCAAACACCCTGAGTTAGACAGCCAAGAAAGCTCAGCCAACTCAGCAAGGCCAGGTAGAAATGCAACGGGGAAGCAAAAAACTCGAGATAAAAAATTCTGTATTTGAAAAGAACAGCGTCTAAAGGTGAGATGCTCTATCTATTGGCCAAGGGGAACATGCACATTATCCTCTCCAAACAATGCTTAGAATCTGAACACTTTCAATCTCATTATTAACGTTTTGGGGAATTTCAAATTTGTCAGAAAACTGTTAAATAATACAGATTAAACTAAATACTTTCTGGATAAACAAGCAGATCCTAAAGTTACACTAGGGAAAAAGAAATGGAAACGAGTCACAGAACTTAATGGAAACTACCAAGCTTTTGTTTGAATCCTTATCATGAATGGCATATGCATCAGTTGGAGGAAAAAGGCAGGAAGGAAAAGTGAACAAAATAAATAAATCTCAAATCCCTAGGTATAACACAAACATATATGATGCATATTTTCGGCAAACTTAAATAAAATATAGTCAGAATTTAGACTCTGTAAAATCTCTGACACTACAAATAATTATCACTGTAATAACATATTGTAATTACAAATCCACCTACAAAAATATACGAATGACAAAAAACACACGAATGACAAAAACATGTTCATTTGCTGAGAATTAGCCAAATATGTAGAGATAGAAAAAAAGTTGTTACTTGCTCAGGAAGTTCCCTAGAACTTAACAGCTACACACACTTCTGATTATTTTTGGAAAATACAGGGGTCTGGACCACACATTTACATCTCAATCTACTGTTAATCCAATATAGTCCATTTTCTAGCCTTAAAAGGTTAATAGTGTAACACAGTCATTATGAGAAGAAAAAAAAGAGCTGATTACTCATTACATACATCACTCTGAAGCTGCATCACGTTTCTTGATAGCTCCAGATTCAGTGAATCAGGCAATAGTGTATAATTGTGAATTAGTTGCTTATAGCCAGCATTTGTAACCGCTTCTTGGGCTTTCTTGGCAGCCGTCACGCTGAACATATCCAAAGGAGTATGATATCTGGTCTTGGTGACTTCGTAACCCTTCTTGTATTCACGATCTGATTGCATTTTGGCCACATTCATGTAATGAACAAGTTTAGGATCATCCTGCAGGCTACGGTATCCAACCTGTTTGCCTTTATCTTTCTCATATGATTCCTTGTACTTGTACTAGATACAAAGGAAAAGAAAGCCTTACCCACTTCGGAAAGAGACATTTTGACAATTTTAATATTTAACAACTGTGGTTCATTCTATAAACTTATAAATTGTTTTTTCAGACAGCGCAGGATTATTTAGGTCAAAAAAAGAAGAGGATTGCTGGATTTCTCAGCCTGTCTTGACCCCTGGTATAGACCTAAACCTAGATATGCAGTTACATGCCTTCCCTCCCCATTGCCTCTGCCATAGATGTATTTTACTGCCACAGACTTCCAACTACCAGGAACATTCAGCTTTTAATTAAAAGACTAGCATAGTAATATATTATTGAAAAGACCAACTACCAAACAATTAGATATCCCAATATTCAGCTATATGAGGGTGGCACGTTTAAGTGGGGAATGGAAGTAATTTGCAGCCTTTTGCTAAAGTTAATGAATTTATTTCTGTGTTCCAAATTTCCTTTCATAGCTTGTGTCAGACGGCACACCAAGCTTTACTGTTGCCAGTTGACATAGCTGCCTGAAAACAGCCATATTTCTGTCCAGCTCATGAATGCTAGACAAGTAGAAGTACAGGTCTCCAGCAATTTAGAATGCAGTATAGGTAAATTATAACAAAGGAACTTTCAAAGAAGCTGGTGACTACTTGAAGCGCATACAACAAACAGCCCCAGCTCACCAGCACTCACGCACAGTACAATGCATTTCCAAAGAAACAGGGGCTTTTGGAGGTTCACGTAAACATCTGAATTCACTTGTTATTTCACAGTATCAGGAGAGTTTAGCGTCTCTATACCATTATATGTATATAACATATGCTCTATAGCACAGTACGTTACAGAAAGCTGTAACGCAGTAGATGTGTGTATTCCACTCTATGTAAATTATACTTACATCACTAGCAATATTTCGAGAAGCTTTAGCAGCAATAATAGGAATGGCATCTGGTTTCAGATCATATCCTTTGGCAATGGTTTTCTTCCAGTCTGCTTTGTAGTTAGCCTGATAGGGAAAAAAGGTATGAGTTCGCAATGTTACCAGTAGCAATTTTAACAAAGTTGTTTAAGCCCATATTTTTATTATAGTTACAGGAAAAAAAATAATTCCGTTTAGTCTGTGCAATTGCAAGGAAAAATGTACAAAAACTACAGTTATATTATGATAAATAAATCTACTACAAAGATAGAAGAGTCCTTCAAGACAATCACTTCAACTCATGTAGCTAAAACATTAACTCCGTAAGCATTTTTTGCAATTTTGATGTGGAACAACTCTATCAGTGGCATTTTTGCCCTTGCTTAAGCAAAACCCTTCCTCATTTGACTGGGCCTTCAGAAATTTTTTTCCTGCTAGCTTCAAAATCAGGCCTTGTGGTCTTAAGTGACTGAAGAAAGCAGTCTGGCTGATTGTTAGCAATTAACATCTGGACAAACTAATAGTATTTCACAGCTATTAAAGATGTCAGCTTTTACCTCGTTCCTGGAGGCCTGATAATGCCACCAAAAACTTTAATATCACAAAGGCAATAAAATTGATACATCAGTGGAGATCTTTATGGTGTTGGATGGATGCAAGAAGTGATGGAAAGCAGGAAGACGAGTAGCTGAGTGGCAGACCAAGGCATTACTATCTTTCCACTGGATAAGTTAACTTCCCTTGAAAGCCCAGCAGCAGGAAGCAACATACAGACAACCTGTACTGCTTGCCTATGCAATGTGTTTTATATAAATGATGACATAAGTAGATGACGTAAGACTCCAAAACTATAGGAATCTGAATAGTAAGTCATGCTGGTTTTCTCATTCAGTCTATCCAAGTAGTCTGGCAATAAAGCGCTGAAATGTGTTTCTGCTCACGAGTGCTCAGACAGTTTAAAAATTTGCTTAACAAGCACAAAACTCATTGACTTCTAGAAGTAAAAGTTTAGCTGAATTCAGAGCTTGGCCATTTCGATATTCAATATCATAGCATGAATAAATAAAAGTTATTTTTTCTATTAAATAAATATATTCTCGAACAAACTATTGGTTATATGCTCACATCACTCAAATTGAAGGCGTTGACTCTGGCTTGAATAAATTGAGGAACATCAGGATCCAGGGTGTATTTGTGTTTTACTTTTTCACCTTCTTGCTTATATGCTACCTGCAAGGAAAAATACACAAATACTGGTTGACAAATTCCAGGTAGGTAATATTAGTGTTAACGAATAGAGACAATGCAACAATGCTTAATTGTTACCAACAAATTGCAGTTTTACTATTTTCACAGTTTTTAAAATTTAAGGGTTTTTAAATGGAATATCAGACAGTAACATATGAATCATAAATATGGTAAAAAAATCAAATCACTATATTGCACTAATAATGAAAAATTTCTTACATCACTCAGTTGCTTGGTGTTGTGCTGAGCTAAAACCATTGGTATTGAATCTGGTACACTTGTAAATTTGATGGTGTCTGGGTGCTGACGGTATTTCTTTTCATTTAAGGCATCTCCAGCCTTTTTAGCTTTTTCAACATCCAGAGAACCAAGAGGACTCCATCCAATACCCTTGAACCAGCTGTTATACTCTTGTTTGTACGCATTCTGAAGGAGAGAAAGCCAACATGGACCAAGATTTTCCCACAGAACTGCAATAATTCTGTTTAAAACAATAATCACATGGTCTAGCTAGTGTGATCTAGCAGAAAATCTTGAAGGGAACAACATATATTTTTTATGCTTCTCTGCAATTTCATAAGGAAGAAAACGAGCTCTTGTATTTTTGATTCATGATTCATTTCTTATAAACTGTAACATCCCTTCAATATTTACTAACTTTTCTTTTACCCATATGAAAATTTCATCAGCCTTCAATTCTTAATAACTTCTAAACTACCATATTGTGACTGTTTAACATGGTTTAATTTGTTCTCTGTTTCAGCAGACTCTATAAGACTTGCCTTTATACATAGGTCCACAGAGCAGAGGCTGAATTTTTGGGTTTTTTTTCCCTATAGCTCCTCCTACAGTAAAATATGCAGAATTCACAGACTGCAAGTGAAAAATTGATCCTGGCTACAAAATATGCAGAAGGTTATCCCAGATAAACATTCAGACGGGGTTAATGCACAGTCTGAATGCAAGGATATTGGGGACACTCTTTTTTAAGACACTTCAGTGTTCTAACTCTGTGGTCCTCCATAGGGATCCATAAAGAGTCAAATTCCATGGTATACAAAGAGGTGTAGAGTGGAACCATGTATGCCCAGTCAACCGTTTGAAACTGTATCTGCAGGAAGGACCTGGAAGGTCCTAGGAGAGATCTCCCATGCTAGAGATCTCCAGAATATATTTCTAATAATATCAATATTTTTTTCGACTCCTTCATCCTAAGTAGTTAATAATAGTCTAACTACACTATCATATCTATCTCATGTGAAGACAAAGCAAGGCAACTTAAAAGAAGTCTTAAAGAATAAAACAAAATTATATTAGTTGCAAAATAAAGTTTTCTAAGGAAATGTGAAAAAAAAAGTTCACTTGAATTCAGTATTCCAGAAGTCTGCTCTCCACTGATATGCCACCTTCAAAAGCCTGTTGAGTAGAACTCACCTGGAATTTGGCATTTCTAAATGCCACTACCAGCTGATAAAACTTCTAACGATCTTCCCCAGGACATAAGAAAAACAGACTATTCCCATACAGTAGTGGCAATTTTCATTGAAAATAAACACGTATTTCATTTTTCACAGTGTGCAGGAAAACATCCATGAAATTGCAATCATTGAAATACTTACATCACTCTGAATTTGCATCATGTTCTTTGCAAGCTCAACATCCATGGCATCTGGCAGGTAAGTGTAGTGATGGATCAGATTTTTGTAGTGGGCATTAGAAGCCACATCCTGAGACTGTTTAGCAGCCTGGATACTGTACATGTCAGGAGGTGTATGATAGTTAGTCTTGGTCTTCTCATAGTCTTTCTTGTACTCACGCTCAGACTGAATCTTTGCTACATTCATGTAGTGGACAAGCTTAGGGTCATCTTGCAGGCTTCTGAAACCAACCTGTCTTCCTTTAGCCTTTTCATATGCTTCTTTATATTTATACTAGAAACAGAGGAAAGAGATCAAATGTACTGTGGCATGGCTATTGATGTCCACACTAACGGTAAAGAAAAGAAAAGCTCTCATGACTTTCATTGGAAAAAGAAGGTGGAAGCAGTTCAGAAAGATAAACTCTCTTAAATGGCATGCCCAGTGACTGTACCTACACTAGGTTTTCTTGCTCCACAATCTAAGCCTGTACACAACAGGTTACACACACCACAATAACATTTATCAACATTAGCCTTTCTTGTAAGCAAGGGAAAACATTTCCTAAACATTCTTATGTGGAAAGTATATGAAAAATATCACAATAATTGAGACAATCCTTCTCAGTCATTTCAAAGCAACAGCAAACAAATGGAGTATGACTGGACAGCTTTTTCTAGTTATATGAAACCACTGAAACATATCCCACTTTATACAATTTGCACTATAAGACCTTCTGAAACGTGTATAAACCGTAGTCCACTGTATTACCAAAAGCATCCTTAGCAGATATTGTTTCACGGTCTGTAAATAAGTGCTAATGCAGTGTATTTTCTGAAATTTGTCACAGAATGGTTGCAAGAACTACTGATTTCATTTCTTCTGTGAAAAGTGGCTTAAGAAACACAGTGCAATAGCATTTGCCTATCTAAAGCAAACAAGATGAGCATAAATTAAGTTCTACACAAACTAAGCCTTCGGGAAAGACTAAGAATCTCTTTCTCATAATACAGACTCTAGTAAGACTTGTGCAACATAGGAGATCTACCACATGGCCTGTAATGGACAACTTTTTTACTAAATGCACAAGAAAAGCACACCTGGAATAGATACTTACATCACTAGCAATGTCTCTTGAAGCCTTGGCTAAAGTAATTGGAATAGCATCAAGTGACACATTGTTCCCTTTTGCTATTAGATCATGGTAGCCTTGTTTATAATATGCCTGAAAAAGAAAATCCATATTATTCCAGAGAACCTAGTCCTCACATGAACTATATGCAAGTCAAAGCTACTCCTAAGCTACTCCAGGCAATTCTTTAGAAGCAGATGCAGTAGGGATCATATACAACTATCAGTCTTCACTTATAAGAACAGATTTATCTATTAATTTAATTAATTAAATTAATACATGATTAAATGGTATCTGGTTGGAAAGTCAAATGACACCAAGAATGAAAAATTACAGTAATACAAGTTGATTATGTAGAACTGCGTATCAGTGAAAGGAATCTGCAGTATGAGTGTATCTGTAACATATTACTCAAAAAATCATTAACAATGTGTAAAACATGTTGTAAAAAAGTAACTTACATCACTGACGTTAGCTGCATTGTATCTAGCTTGGATAAACTGTGGGACATCTGGGGTAAGAGTATATTTATGTTTAACTTCCTCTCCAGAAGATCTGTACAGTTTCTGTAAAATATATGATACAGAAATAAATCCTTCTTTCCTTGTATAGCTAGCCCCAGCTCACTGTGAATTAACCAAGGGCTTATGTTTGATTTTGCAAATAAACGTACATTGCCACCTATCTCATAAGATCGGGGCTGCACTTTTCATACAGAATTGTTGATCTTATTGATAGACGGAACACATCCTAAAGCTCTCTGCAGTCTTTACTCAGTAAAATTCAGCCCTTTAATGGACGTAAAAAACCGTTTCTGAAAGAGTGGGGTCATAAGGGATGGTAGGAGACTCTAACATAAAACAAAGCTTCCTGGTTTATAATGATGTTGGCTGTGATTCATCAAGCGTTCTGTAATTCATTCATTATTGTAGGTGGTAAAATGTCACTAAACAACTTGAAAATTTCACATTTCTTAAATCAAATGTATTTCAAATATACTTAAAATATAAATGGACAGAATCTGCTGATGTGAACTGGAAGAGCTGTATGATTTAAATAGAGATTTCTCAGGCAAAATCAAAGCACAAAACAACGACAACACAGAGAAACACTGTCAGGCTAATAGTACTTCAACAAATTTTAAAGACAATGCTCAACTCTTCAGTAGATACATTTCTACTTTACTACAGCACCCATTTCTTTCTCTACTTACATCATTGAGTTGAACTGAATTCTGTTTGGCTTGGACCATTACCGGAGAGTCCACCACACTTGTAAATTTAATGGTGTCCGGATGCTGACGATATTTCTTTTCATTCAAGGCATCTCCAGCTTTTTTAGCTTTTTCTACATCTAGCGAGCCAATGGGGATCCAACCAATGCCTTTCATCCAGTTGTTATAATCTGCTTTGTATGCATTCTAATAAAGGAGTGAAAACAATGTTTTAAAAGTTAGAAAATGCAATTCAGGGACCTCTCCTGAGTCTTCACAGTTTTTGCTTAAGGCATCTTAAAAAAATTCTGTTCACATGAGGTTTTACTTACATCACTCTGAATCTCCATCATATTTTTGGTCAGCTCCACATTCATTGCATCTGGTAAGTATGTATAGTGGTGAAGGAGGTTCTTGTAATTAGTATTGCTGGCAATCTCTTGAGCCTTCTTGGCACCGACAACATTGACCATATCCAGTGGAATGTTGTACTTAGTTTTTGTTTTCTCATAATCTTTCTTGTACTCTCGCTCAGACTGCATCTTGGCTACCTTCATATAATGAACGAGTTTGGGATCATCTTGGAGGCTCTTGAAGCCAACAAGTTTACCCTTGGCAAGTTCATAGCCTTTTTTATAGTTAACCTGTTACAATATAATAGAACATGGAAAATATAATCTTAAGTGTGTTAACTTAGCAATAAGTAAATTAAAAGCAAAGGCTATCCCTCACATTTAAGTCATTGACCATACATCTTAATAAAACCAGACATGTATCTCTTTACAATTCACTTCTACACGAAAGAGGAAGAGGAGTCTTAAAATACTAAGGGACTTCCGCGAGGCCATCCCCAAGAATCTACCCAAAACCCAGTGATGTCCTAGAGCCTTTAATCTCATTTATGATCAGGCATATAATTAAAGACGGAGAGGGGTCCATTGCTCATGGAGCTGTCACTACTGACGTTGTCCTCATGATTTTCCTTAACCATACTGGAGCGCAAGTGCCTATTTATTCACAGAGAGTTACATAATGAAACAACCTTTTCTAAATGTAATTATACAAATACATCAGTGAAGCAATGAAACACCAATAAAGATATAACGGTGTTAAATATGTCCAGTAACATGCTCAAAAAAGGCAATAAAGAAGTTATGCTTCAGATATCCTTAATGAACATAATTACAAACATTAAGTAAACTCCTTTGAATTAAACAGTTCCTTTAGGAAGGATGTACTTACATCACTGGCAGCCTGCCTAGCAGCCTTGGCAGCTCGAATAGGTATAGCATCACTTTTTAGATCATATCCCCTTGATTTTAATTCTTCCAATCCTGTTTTGTAATAGTTCTAGAAAAAAAGGTGAATTTTGAATGAACAGTTTCTAGCTAACAGAAATTTCATATTGTAAGTTGAATCAAGAGCTCTGGATTCAAAATATACTCACATCACTAATATTGTAGGCATTAACTTTAGCCTGTATAAACTGGGGCACATCTGGAGGGAGGTGGTACTTGTGAATAATTTCTTCACCTTTGGATCGATACATTATCTGCAAAGAGAAATGAAGAAAGAAATTTAGCAGCCCAATGTTTATACATTGCAAATGCTTATAATGCTGAGTGACACAACCTAAAGATCTCATGTTACCTCACCCACAGAGATGAAATCCTAGTCCTTGCCAAATGAATGGTATAAACCCCACTGACTTAACTGGTGTGAAGAATACATTAAAAATGATGGTCATAAACAAAATTATGAACAGACACACTAAAACTTGACATGAACAGCCGCTTGAAAAACTGAAGAAACCTGGTTTCCAGGTGATCTTCCACTGGAACAGAACTGTGAATACACACAAATTTTTTTTGTGCTTGTGCGCATGTATATGCACAGACATTCACCTACACATTCATTTTAGGAGTTGTCTGAAAACTGGATGATAAAGTGAAGGTGGCCACAGTTCAGAAATTGATAATGTCAGATTGTAGTAACATGTTTTCTAAGTTCACTTACATCACTCAGCTGTTTGCTATTGATCTCAGCTTGCTTCTGTACTGGAGAGTCAGCCACTTGAGTAAATTTGGTTTTATCAGGATGCTTTTTGTAGGTGTGCTGAAGGAAAATAATAAATATATTTGCAGAAAATGTATATAAGCGGAAGTATTTTACAATACTTAGCAACGTAGCATTACTTGGGATAGTTAGCAGTTACAGCATGCATACCGATAAGCACTGTCATGCACAACGGTTCTTGTTACTTTGTAAAATAATGAGAGACCAAATAAATTTTTAAAAGTATTTTTAAAGTATTAATGTAAAATATTTGCAATAGGTATATAAATATAATGTATAGTATATATATAGTATACATTATATTATACACATTATAGCATATCCAAATATATATATCCATATATAACAAATATATATTCAAAGTATTTTCCAAGTACTGATAAAGTAAATAAAATTAGCATTAATACAGTAACTAAAGTACTTTTAAAATATTAATGTAAAAACATGTTGACCTAAGTAGGTAAATGCTTGAGGTTCATTCTTCATTTTGGTATTATTCCTCTCATTTTACGTTTTTACTTGTTAAAAAAAAAAAAGATTTGTGCTATATCTGTCTTGATCACTAGATGTCACAAAAGGCTCTAAAATACAGATGAATAAGGTTTTTAAAAATCACATATGCTAATAAGGCCAAATTCAAAATCATCGAAGTTAACAGGAATCACTGTAAATTTCTACATGCCTCAGAAGCAGATACTCTCTGTGTAATTAGCTACTTGATAACCACTACTGTCCTGTACTTACATCTTTACACTGCTCTAACTTCTTAATAGCTTCGTACTCTTGAGTGATGGTCTGAGGGAAGTAGCATTTTGTCTTCTCCTCCTCATAATCTGCTTTGTAATTTTTCTAGGAATAAATTCAACATTCAGTAGGAAACCATGATTGAGCCTTCTCTGAAATTAAAGTATGATGGTGAAAACAGAATGATTGCCACACTTACATCACTCTTCATAGCTTCAACTTTCATGCAGTGTGTATGATGTGGGTCCTCAAAGCTGCCCAAATAGTGTCCTAAAATATTCTTTTGATATGCATCCTTATATTTTACCTGGAAAAATAATCACGAGTTGAAAAACAAATGTAATCAAGACTGTCAGTACTGAATGACATAACATAAATCAAATACATACATCGCTAAAATTCTTCAGAATAGTATCAGTCTGGAACTTTGGTGTATCACAGTAGTTCATGCTGGTTCCTTTTGATTGTTCATAGGCTTCTTTGTATAATTTCTGCAAAAGAATATAATGTCAGATAATGCGGTACATTTCACTGCAACTCACTCACAACACATTAAAAATGACAAGAGTAAAACTGTGACATGATTGCAAAGACAAGCTTTCCCAGAAGACTGAAAAACAGATGGCACATTTTTCCCATTGATTTTTAAAAACCCCTTTTTTTAGTGACTCTCAGGTTTGTAAGGGAAGACAGAAAGGTCTGACTAATGGTTTTTGAACTTCTGACACTGAGAAATATGCAATCTCTTCCCATGCAGATGAAAACAGCAAGAAGAGAGAAATCGAGAAAGTATTACAGTGAGAAACCAGAACACAATATATGTGAATATGCAAAAGTACCACATATCCTATCATTATCAGCATCAGTTGAAGTTCTTTAAAACACTAAGGGAAGGACTGTCATCTTGTGATCCATTTTCCACAGGGACCTAAATGAAGTGTACAGTAATTAGCTATCCTCATACAATGCCACAGCTATTGTTGCACTCCACTATGGAGAAATGACTCCTTATCTATACTGTTCTGGTTGGTGGTATCTCATTACAAATGTCGATCTATAAAACTAAAAATACTAAGAGATCCGAAGGAGAAGCCTTATGTAGAAATAATGAGTTTAGTTTGTTGCACATGACTGAAAATCATCCAGCTGTACTTTGATAATACTTACATCACTCAGCACATTTCCTGCAGCTTTTAATTGCCTCAGCAATGGGTTCTCTGTAGCAGGAAGCACATTATAATCTGCAATAGCTTTGTTCTTTTCATAGTCTGCTCTGTATTTTACCTTTAAAAAATAAAAATAAATCAGTATTAAAATCAGTATTAAAAGCCAAATGCTCGCTAACCTATATTATCTTGAACTTTTCAGGAGAATTTCCCCTGGTTTTTAACTTATGATTCATGATGGCAAAGGACCATGAAAGGCACTCAGATCACAGGAGTCCATTGATGCCGAGATGGGAAGCAGGTCAGAAGATAAGTGAGAACTATTTAGTAGATGTCTCCACCTCTAAGCCCCTCTCCAAATGTTGTAATTTTTCAAATATTAGTTGGCATCTCAGTATAGTCACATTCTTACAATTAAGGACATAAGATTGTCTTCACTGATGCATATACTATTGCAGAAAATGCAGAAAGCAAACAAGTTCTGTATTTTGAACAAAAGATGGGCCAGCACAACACAACTGAGATACACTGAGCAAGGATGAATAAATATGAAAATACCAAGCCAAATTCAGCTAGCTTAAGTTGGTCTCGGTTAACAGTATTGATTTGTTCCAACTAAAAATCAGGCACATAACATAATCAGAACAAACAATGAAGCAAATTCTATTTCACTGAAAGAAAATTCTACTTCATGGGTACTATTGTGGAAGATCATAAGCATGGCTAGGAGTTGTTATAAGCTTCCTAGTGGAATGCACACAAGAATATATCTTTTGCATATCAAAAATATTTTTGACGCTTGACAAAACAGTTTTAGCACCCACTGGTCTGACTTCAGAACTGTGCTCAACCTAAACAAATGAGAGCACGCATAACATACCTTACTGACGTTATTGGAAACTCGTTTATTAGCTTCATATTCTGGAGTTTCAGTCTGCATAAAGTAGATTTGGTCTTTAATGTTTTCAAAGTCTTCCTGGTATTTTCTCTGTTAGGAACACAGACAAACAGACAACAATGTATCATAAGCACTTAGATTATAAAGCAGCCATCCACAAAGTAGCTTGTTTAGGAAAAGAGAACACAAATGGAGCAGGTAAAATTTATCCATATTTTCCATGTTAACATCAACAGAGGATAAAACTGTTCATTTGAAGATTTTCTGAAGAATTCACTTACCGTACTTATATTTTCTGCATTCATTTTCGCAACTGCAACATCATAGCATGGAGTTTGACTCCACTTGCCTTTGATCTTGTTTTTATAGTCCTCATGGTAAATAATCTGTAACGAAACCAAAAATAAAATTTAATCCCCAAGATACAGCTCAATTTTCACTCAACAGATTAAAAGTCTTCTTTTTAAAGTTGCTTCACATTTCACATCTGCCTTATAACCACTTTATCAGTTATTGTCAAAAACACTTTAAATACGATATGGCCTTAGCACTTCAGTAGTCAGTTATTTCTCTTAGTACCTTCCCTGACCAAAAAAAAAAAGGATAAATAGGTGAACTAAGTCCTACTAGAAGCTAGTTATTAATAAGAAATTCTCTTTATGACACATCACTAACATATTCCTTTAGTTCTGTTTTCTCACTGGTCACATAATATTGGGACATAATATTGCCCTTTGGTTAAGCCAGAATTTATTGTCATTGCTGCTGAAACCCACTATAAGCAAACTCTTTTAACATATGGATTGCCTGGTATACATGATTTCTATTAGACTATATTCAAACACATGGAAATCAAGTATCAAGTTCCTATCTGCCTAATAACAAAACATCTTCCCAAGTTTTGACTCAGTGTTCCAAATGCATTTTTAGCCACAGTTGCATTGCTTATCACAAAAAATACAACTTCTCCAATGCCTTTTTAATTGTTACCACATTAATAAAGAACATATATGCCAAAAAGAACCTTAAAAATGTCTATAGTTTATTGCTTTGGAGATACCTATATAGCCTACTATTTTATTCATTTCAAAGAATTATGATACTGATTTTGCTTTTTCCATGTCTAAAATTTTTCTTGATGACAATTTAGCTTTCAAGCTATGGAACAGTAGGATTAAGAACATTTTCTCTAAATGAAATACTACCTTCTTTCACCTCCCAAATGGGTTCATTGCAATATTTTCTTACTGGTTTTGCAATCATAAGTGAATACAATAACTCTCTAATCTTAAACAGCAGATAATTTTCAATACACAGCAATAAAATCATGCATGTCCTCTTCGTAATAGCTAAATTTTGAAGTGAGTTAGAATCCTACTTCCATCTTACAAGATTATGTAACTTAGTTCCAGTTTCTTCAGAAAAAGTTGGTCTTCCTGTATTTCACTACTTCTGCATTCCTTAACTGTGTTTTATTCTAAGTATACCTAAAATTCTTTGACAACGACTGGTGCCAGAGTATTTGTTAATCATGCCACACAGTTACGGAATTTAATGTTGAATATTACTTGTTAATTTGGTGTACGAATCAGGAAACAGTAATCTAAGTTCCAGAGCCATTTCCACTGATTGGCATCCATGAACTTAAGAATGCTTGGGATATGCACGTGTACCATGGTTTGACATGAAATGAGCATTTAGAATGTATTCTGTGCAGTTGACCTAGGCAACTTTTCAGCAAAATGGGGTTATTCCTTGAAAGCAATAACTCATTCCAAAACCAGATATATATTTACATGTTATTTTTTAACTTTAAGAGAACAGCAAAATGGATGTTGTTTACTATTTTCTCCTGTAAACACAGAAAGTGTAAAGCAGGAGACAAATAGGGAGAATAGGAAGCAATGTGTGCATGGTAGAAGCAGAAACGTTTTGTGAAAACTAAATTCACTGACAAGAATAAAGCTTCACCTTTCACCTGAGACTGGACACTATTTTCTCTGAGACACCTGAGGAAAGAAGGAACTGACCTTGGCCACTGAAAATCAAAGGGGTCTTCATATGAGCTCAGGTCTTTTCTTTTGCCTTCGCTTTCTTTAGGTACCTTTTTGCCTCTCTAACTCCAAAAGTGAGGTTTCTATAGAAAGAAGAGCACTGCTTTCTACTCACATCACTTAGCTGCCTTGTCACTTTCTTGGCTTGTTCCACATCAGGTGGATCTGGCAGAGAAGTATATTTAGATTTTCGTTCATCATGCCCTTTTTTGTAGACAATCTGAAGATATGAAAGAAGTAAACATTTACAGTAACTATCAACTGAAGCATCAGAACATTTACTCTTAACTCTAATACCACCATTAACAAAAGTCGTTCTGTCCACAGCTACTGCAGCATAAACTCTTTCAATCAATGTATTCTGGAGGGCTACTGAGAAGTCTCTTGATAAGAGACTTTATTTTCTGTTCCATTATAAAGTTTTTATATCTAGTCAAAGTCCACCATGAAGTCTACCGAGTTACATTGTAACAGTGACCCAACTATCAATCAATCAGGCTCTGATACTCACATCACTCAGAGCCTTTTGAGCCTGTGCCACCCTTCTGAGCTCTGGACTGTCATTGTACGGATAGAATAACGTTTTGTCTCCTTCCCAGTCTTCAGTATAGAGTTTCTAAAAAACAGAAAAATGCCAGAATACTCATTATGAATTAATCTCTGACTTGGAAAGCTTCTTGCACTTCAGCTGCCTAGACCCCTGATTTTTTTTTCTTACCTTACTGAACATTGCTGTGTTTTTTATTGCATTCACAAGCTCTGGAGCATCAGGGGGAAGCAGGTACTTGTCCTTATTCTCCTCCCAGTTCTGTTTATATAATACCTGGAAAGAAAGATCAGCACGTTGGTTATGCCATCATTAGAAAAATATTTATTTTTCTGAATAAACTACATGCTCTAAAGATTTTCCCAAAGCGAAGTCTCAAAATAGTGACATTTGAAGACATCAACTGGAAACATTTAAGATGATATTTATGCTTGTCTTATCAACTTCTCTCCTATCTCCCTCTGTGCTTCTAAAGTGTTCTATAAACATTGCTTTAGTGCCCTGAGCTCAAAACTTTATTCATATCAGTAACCGTATGGTCCACTAATGTTTACAACCCTTCCAGAAAGTCAGAACTCACTCACCTTGCTCACTTGCTGTGACACCTTCTTTGCATGTTCTATATCTTTGGCCTTTTCATCAACATGGCAAATAGTTCTAGCAATTTCACCAGCCATGCGGTATTTAACCTAGATTGAGGCACAACAAAACGCATTTGTTCTTAAGGCAAAAACTGTCAGGTTTTTTTAAAAAGCAGAATAGCGTCATTTTGACACTTACTACTGCAAACACGTAAAATCTGAATTCAATGGAGCATTTAGGACTAGTTGTTCCTTAGAAATGAAGCTTATGGAAACAAACAGATTTTGTGAATTAACTGAGAAAGAAATGCAGCTTTGAGACAGTTTCAAGAGCTGTGAATCCAAGTTAGAAGCAGTGCCCTTCAGTAATCAGAGTTCTTCCTAAAAGTACTTCCACCCTGTATAATGAGATAGAGATTATCTCATGCTATGCAGTATATCTCAATTTCACAGTCCATTGCCATGTAAACACTAGGTGTCGTGCCAGTAACAATATAGCCACATGACCATGGCAAACCAGCAGCTTGGGCACAAAATCATGCTAATGCGGTTATACCACTCCCAGCCTGACAGCAGGCTCAGTCAGCATTAGCGCATGGATTGCTGCATCACGTTCCTCAATATATCCTAAGTCAGGAGTGGAGTAGAATTTAATGCACACTCTTCTCCTGAACACTAGTTAGGTTAGGTGACTACCCTCTCAGCTTTAGCGGTTCCCATTCCTAGGGACTCAACTCTATTTACTGTACAAAGAATTAAGAAGCCTTTGTAGGTGGATTTCAGTTTCCCAAACTGTGAGGTGTATTGTTGAAAGGTAGACTAGAGCTGTTTCAAAGACAGAGAGGATGAGGTAGCTTCCAGAACTAGAGGCACTGCATCAGTGGGACAATTGCACTTGGGCTTGCTTTCAAAGACAGATCACTAAGAGTGGGATTCACACAGAGGGGACAACACATCTTGGAAAATCCCACAGTAAATGACAAGATGTACAGAAGTTCCTTTTGCAACAGTTGGAGAACCTAAGCAAAATCAAAAATCTATTACTTCTTGTCTAACATTTAAAATTGTGACTTAATTTGCTTCTTTACCACTCAATAAATATTTTTTCTCATGACAATTGTTACCTACCTCACTGAGCTGGTCTTGCACTTTCTTGATTCTCCGAATTTCTGGGGTATCAATTGTGGAAGCATATGGCTTTCCTTTTTCTTTTCTAAATTTTTCTTTGTACTTGTTCTGAAAGAAAATAATGACAAATATAATCAAGACATATCCTAAAGTTCTGGCAGAAATGTATGTAGCAAGTATTGATTTATTTATCTTGTTAGTATCAGAATTTGGGGCAGATTCTTCAATAATACAAACTAGTATTACTCAATTACATTTGCAGAGTTACGCTTATTTTACCCAACTGACTTTCTTCCATCTGATCCAATAGAAAAAATCCATTTCTAACTTTAGCCTGGTTTAGATCACCTCTAACTGACTGTATTCTCCTTAGGAGCTTAGTATTGATAAATGTACAGTTATGTGTTTCAGTGACCAAAGATAAGGAAAATATCTGGATGAGGGTAGCAGTCCTAGATCTATGATCTCACATAATCCTTTAACAGTGAACACTGGTAGGTAATATACATTAAAATTTAGGAAAAGAGATCCGATACCATCTACATCTGAGCAGAGTAGCTGTTTTTGACTTTTCGCATCATACAGTATTGGTCTAGTGGACTCTGGTATCCCGTACCAGGCATTTAAGTTGGTGCTTGTTCCTCTATACTGTGCACAAGGGTTCTTCTTGAATATATATAAAGGGACAGAGAAATACACTATTATAAAAAATATTGAGGTTTGCTATTCAATAGACATTAGTCCCTGTTACCTTCCTCCACTCGGATACCCAAGTCAGATAGTGCAGGAGTCCTATTACCTGACATCTCTGACAATCCTCAGCCATCTGCCTCAAGCCACTTTTTGTGCCTAATGATTACCTAACGCACTTGAGCAGGAAACAGACAAGAGAGGGACTATTTCAAAGAAGGAAACTTCCTACTTCAGGCAAATAACACTAATACACGTAATGAAATGAAGTACAGGAAACAAAGGAGTAGTGTGAAGGTTTGCAATAATATCTATTAAATACTGGTGTTCCTCAAGAAATAAAAGACATGGGACAATTTACCTCACTGAATAGGTCCTTCATTTTATTGCTGTGTTGCAGATACGGTGTCAAAAACTTAGATGGGTCCACTTTTGTCCGTATTATCTTCTTTCTGACTGGAGGTGCTGCATCCTCAACAGAAGGTTTTTCATGCTCAACAGTATAGGTGACAGTTTTGGGACCTGTGAAGTCTGTGCTAAAGGTCTCAGTAATCTCAGTGACCACCTGGGAACAAAGAAAAAAATAATTACTTGCTTTACAACTATAAATCATCATTTTATGAGATGCATTTTTCACGTCCCCTATCTAGTAAAGGATGCTCAGTTCTTACCCAGGAACCACCTGCAAGACAGAAAATCAGTGATGCTTTTCCTACTGTGATTGCCCAGTCATACAGATGTATAGGATACTATACATCACCCAATCAAAAAAAACCCACCAAAAACCCCCACAAGGAATTAACTGACTGGCTGATTTCTGTATCAAATTCGTGTAATTATTCTCCAGATGAACTGGCAGAGTGGGGGTCCTGCTGCCTCTGTTCTAGATGCATAACTTCCACTGGCATCAGGGGCGTTCTCAGGTGTGACCACCGGCTACTAAAACCAAAGCATAGAAATGTTCTCAGTGCTGAAGTTGTGTGGAAGACACACGTCACACAGCCAGGGCTCCTAATGATGTCATTGAAAGTTGTGAAAGCAGGTCAAAGGTGCATAGAGTCATTCAAAAAGATTATCTTCTTCTTGCAAAAGGAAAGGAACAGACACAGCGGACAGACAAGACCAAGGCTTTGGGATCTTGTAGTAAGTACACAATGCACCAGCTGACTGAACAAATACCTAGAATCCATCTTTTCTACTAAACTACATTTTGTCATAGCCAGATCACAACCATTGCAAAGACATAGCTGAGATACTTACGTAATCAATTGGTCAAGCATCCATTGGAAACTAATTAATTAATTAAAATGGTTTACATACTTGTTTATGAACATATTCATGCTGTAAGCAATAACTTTAATACTAAGATTCTAATCAAGAGCATTTAATAATTATTACAACTTAAAAATGCCAAAGCCACCTGAATAAGTATATCAATTAGCTGTAAAAATAAGCCTTTAAAAGGGAATGCATGAAGCTCAGATTTCTGATAGCTATTTGCATGAGACAGACTAGAAAATGCACCAAACATTAAACATTAAATTGATAAGTATAAAAAACTTAAATTACAAAAGGTTTATTATATGAACATGAATTGCATTTCACTAATGCTATCTTAAGATGTTATTAGTTACTTCAGCACCGCCACAAGTTTCTCTCTTACAGCTCTTTTCAAATATACAAGTGTTCATCTAAGTTTTGGCACTGAAAGCACTGGAGAGTTTGAAACCTGTCTAGGCAAACACTGAGAACAGCACTGCCTCCTGTTAGTTTTATAACAAAACAATGAGTCTATGTGCTTTTATAAAAACTTGTAATACATTTCTAAAACTTGCAGAGGTTTAATTCTGGAAAGACAGCATTTTGTCAAAAAAAAAAAAGCTTTTATTTTCATGTGATAACTCAGAGGATCACATGATGTGAATGCATTAGACTGTATTTACAGCTGATGGGAAAAGGTCTAATCACATTAGCTAGAAAGACATTCATACTCATATGCAATTCTTCATTCCACAATACTGTTTTCAAAAACTGATGCAAATCAGACGGAGAAATAGTCAATCATGGTATCGCTCCCTTTAAATCCAGTCTGGCTAGAGATTTTAGAACACCTGATGAATGCAGGGGATGAGTTAATCTTAAAATAGTATGATGGCAGTCTTCTTTCAAAAGTGTAGTCCTAGATTACTTGCTCAGGCAGTATTAATCAAATCATCTTTTATTAAATTAAAAACATAGGAAGACTTTGGGAATAGATGCTTTGTTTGGAAGGAAACAGAGTCACAAAGTGAAACGTTAAGCTTTTGTTTCCGCATAAACCTATGCCATAAAGAATATTTCACTGTAACATAGCAGAGAGTTGGGTTATATCTGTATTACAAGCAGCATTTCAAATTATGCTAATAACTCCTTGGTGACTCAAGTATTTGTTACCAGTGACATGAAAAGCATCTGCAAACCATCACTTTTCAGTGAAATTGCACAAGGTGAAGGGAACAGAATTGATACATGTAAACTGGTTTCAGGCAGAATTTTTTTATATTCCTCTTCATAACAAGGTTAAGTATAACGCATGTATGTGCCTGTTGTTCGTATGTATAAATCTAGTCACATTGACATAGAATCATAGAACAGTTTGGGTTGGAAGGGACCTTAAAGATCATCTAGTTCCAACCCCCCTGCTGCGGGCAGGGACACCCTCCACTAGACCACGTTGCCCAAAGCCTCATCCAGCCTGGTCTTAAACACTTCCAGGGATCCAGGGGCAGCCACAGCTTCTCTGGGCAACCTGTTCCAGTGCCTCACCACCCTCACAGTAAAGAATTTCTTTCTAACATCTAAAGCAACCCTCCTTCAGCTTAAACCCATTTCCCCTTGTCCTGTCACTACACTCCCTGATGAACAGTCCCTCACCAGCTTTCCCGTAGGCCCCTTCAGGTACTGGTAAGCCGCAATCAGATCTCCCCAGAGCCTTCTTCCTCAATAATTCTGTTCATCCTTAACACTAATGATTGGATTTTGTCAATATGTTACCCAAGTAATTTTCCTGCCTGTGTTGTTATTAACATAACCTGTTGCTTCATTTTGTCAGCTCCTGTGTGAACAGCTTCTGGGTAGGAGCAAATGGAATGCAAAAAGCCACTAATTTAGCATTATGCATTAATTATATGCATATGTACACCACATGCAACTTCACAGGGACCTTTACCTCATGTGGTTCACCCTCCTCAATAATTGTCTCTTCAATGTAGTACTATTTAAAAAAAAAAAAAAGAGAGAGAGAAAAAAGTCATTGTTAGGCCAGATCATACAGAAGAGCAAATTGTAGCTTTTATTAACCTGTTTTAAAAACACACTTCCAGAGAAATAGGACTGTGGTTCATAGGTACCTATGTAGTCACATTTGCATGCTTGGTAATTCTGAATATCTGTTCATTTTGTACTAATGATTGGATTTTTTCCATACATTCCTCAATGAATCATCCTCCGAAGTAATTAATGATCACTATCTAATTTTACCCACAAGAGGGAAGACAATGATGACCACACTAAAAGAAGGAATCAGCATTCAAAAAACCAGGATTTTCCAAGTGTTTGGTAATACACTGAGAGGACTGTAGTAGGTTTCTCTCTCTAAGGCTGCCCTCAGGTTTATTCCTACCTACAGATCCTTGAAGGACACCAATAACTACTGGTCTCCCCTTGTGCACAGCAGCAGTGAACTCATTATAAAAAGCAATGAGTTTGGTCAGCCATGATTTACCCTTGATAAATCAATGTTCACTGCTCCCCAAGACCTTCATGTCTTTCATGTGTTTAGAAATAGCTTCTAAAAGGATTTGTTCCAAAGCCTTCCCAAAGACTGAAGTGAAGACACTTGACCAGTCTGTAGTTCCCTGGATCTTCTTTCTTGCCTTTCTTGAAGATGGGTATGACATCTGTCTTTTTCCAGTCTTCAGGAACGTCCTTGCATCACTATGAGCTTTCAAAGATGATAGCAGCCTTGCAATATCATCAGCCCGTTCTGTCAGTACCCCTGGATCCATCCACTCTGGTCCCATGGAACAACGTACATCCCAGTGGGTTAAGTCATCCCTAACTCCGTCTTCCTCTGCTGTGGCTCCTACTTCACTCCCATGTCTCTGCTAGGAAGCTCAGAGATGTGGAAGCCTTATCAAAGCTGAAGCAACAAAGGCTTTAAGTACCTTGGCATTTTGCCTGTTCCTTGTCACTAGCTTTCCTGCCCACTGAACTGTGGTCCCACACTCTCTTAGCTTACCTTTTGCTGCTGATGGCACCTGCAGAAATCTTTCTTGCTGTTCTTCACTTCCCTTACTGGCTTCAACTCCAGATGAACTTTGCCCATGCATGTAGGAATGGAGTTTATAATGTCTTACGTCTTTATGTTCCTCCCAAGTGGCCAGCTCCTGCTTCCATCTTTGGTATACTTCTTTTTTGTGTGTTTGAGCTCAGTCAGGAGCTCCCTGTTCATCCATCTCAGTCTTGTGCTGTGTTTGACTTCTGTACATTGGACTGAACCATTCCTGTGCTCTGAGAAAACTGTTCTTGAGGATCACCCAGCTCCCCTGGGGCCCTTTGCCCTCCACGGCTGTCTCCCCTGGGATCTTCCCAAGCAGGTCCTTGACCGGACTCAATCTGCTTTTCTGAAGTCTGGGATTGTAATTCTGTTTATCTTGCTCGCTCCTCTCTAGATCTTCAACTCCACAGTGTCATGGTCACTGCAGCCATGGCTGCCCTTGACCTTTGCATCTTCCTTTCTCATTTGTGAGTAGCATGTCCAGCAGACCATCTCTCCTACTTTGTTCATCAATCAACTGCATCAAAAAATTTATCTTCAATACTTTCCAGAAATCTCCTAGGTTACTTATGCCCAGCCATAGGCCCTTCCAGCAGATACTGGGTTGGTTAAAGCCATCCATAAGCACAAGGGCTGTGCCTGTGAGGCTTTCTCCAGTTGCCTAAAGAGGTTCCCAGAGCGCTATATCTACTCTGATGTGGCAGATCTGCAGGTGGGAGCACAAACCTTCCTCCTGTTGCCGGAAACCATGAGCTTCCTGCATTCTCCACCCTGATGGGCCCCCTCCATCACCTATTTAACCAGGGTCTCCAACTGGCAATCCTTCCTTGCCACGTGTGGCTCTGCCTCTTGCTTTTAATGAAGGTACTGTCAATGTCGTCTTCACCTTCCATGATGGTGCAAAGCCTGCTCACCTCTTCCTTCAGCAACCTGCACTGCAACTGAGCGACCTGACCAGAACACATCTCCCACTTGAGAGGCAACAAGGGCTACGTCCCTTCCTGCAGCGCTTTGTGGGCTTCGCTCCCCCGCTGGCAGCTTGCCTTTCCCCACAGCGGCCGGGAGCCGACGGCGCCATAAGTAGCTCCCACCAGAGCCGCTCCGCCAACACAGTTCCCGCAGCTGCCGAGGCCATCTCTGAGGCGTCGCTCGGGGGAACGCAGCAAAAGGCGCGCCACGCAGCAACGTGCTGCCGCACGATGGCGCCCTCTCGCCAGGGCCTCACCGCCCCCAGGCTCTGCCCTCCCGCTCCCCTTGCGGCTTAATGAAGAAAAACGTTTAAAGGTGTTGCTCCATCCGCTGTAGTAAACAGCAGCTATTTTATTCAGAAGGTGCTTAATTTGCCACTGAATTCCAAAAAGGAAAAAATGTAAAATGCAGTTTTTATCTTTGAAAATCTCCCCAGCGATGATTTGCTCAAGGTCACATGCCAAAACGGTGTGAACAGAAAGCCCTTTGAATCAAGCCCTAAACAAATTTTGATTAAAAATTAAACCCTTTTCCCAGAGTTGTTCCTCAAAGTTAGATTCACATAACTAGCCCATACTTTTCAACCTGTCTCATATTCGGCTGTTTTGAGGCAATTTCTGCTCACTGGCCCTACACCGAGTTTGAACCATCTTCCACAAAGCCCTGAGTAACTCAGCAGCGAAGGTTTGTGTCATTCACTGTGGTTTTTGGCATGTCACAAATGGCTACAATGTCCAGTGCAGGCTAATAACTCTGGAGAAAGAAAAAATAGTATCTTAAAATCCTCAACGTTCTCTCAGCCACTCATTATTCAGCAATAATTTTCTACTCTTTTGGGAGATGAGTATCTGATAGAACTCTCATGGGTTTAAAATAAGTGATTCATATAAAAGTGGAATTCTAGTTAAGAAAACTCTGGAAAGGCTTAAGCTGCCTTAAAATTGTAGCAGATGCTATTGTTCCTGTTTTATTTAACTTCTCGCTACGAATATCTTGAGGGAAGCTACTAAAGCAGCACTATCTCGGTCCGTCCTAGGAATGTGTTTACAGGAAGGTGGTCATTGAAAATTAAAAATGAAGGAGGAAACAGAGCTATGTAGACAAAAAGCCCAACATACCATAACTCCACCACCAACAAATACACATTGACAGCAAATAAATATACATTTTGTTACAGAGAGCACATAATGCTCAGGAACCATAAAGGCAATTACAAGTAACATGGTAATAGGAAACTTAATGAAGGGCTGGCATCTTTATAACGAGGTGGTACAATGTCTTTAAAATGGACTTTATGAACAGTAATGCTTATTTTCCAAAACACGTCTGACTAATTCAACTGGCAAACCATTTGACTTGACTTCATTCACTATTTGAAATGCATAAAGTCGGCAGTCAGGGCTCAATGCTGTCAGACTGCCTGATATCAACAGCCCGTTGAATATGGCGTGGAGACAATGAGTTGTGGGATGTCTACATTTGTACTGTCTTCTTTTCCTCAAACCAACACTGAGCAATTTGTTATAATCACATATTTCATACCACATAGTTTCATTTCAGAATAGTATTAATGCAACAGATAAGACCACACCATTCGTTAGCCTCGTATACTCTTTCAATAGTGAAGTTGTTATTTCAATGACACTTGGTCATAATAGTAAGCTGTAGGTTCTCCAGTTCTTGGGATTTCTTTTAATCAAATTGCTGAGACTAAATAATTAGGCATATAAATATGAGTTGAAATGACCTATCAGCAAATTAATCCCTGATGCAAATCCACAGACACCTACAGGTTTCAGTCTAGCTCCATCTCTGCAGCTTCTAAGGCTCAATTAGTTAACAGTACCTTGGTGGCACAAAACTGCTGCATTTCTCCATTGCAGTGGGCACAGAGGTGAGGCTAGAAAGTGGCTTCCAAAGTCATCCTCTCTAGCATGGATTGGATGACAGAGGGCAAGCCAGGAAGGAAAAGAGATGGCCCACTGCATCTATAATTATGCAGAAGAGTAATCACAAAACCTCGCGACAGGGGCGAGGGATGGTTATAATCCTTATTTAAACAGAGAAACTATGACAGGAACCAGAGAGATTTTGCCCCACTGCGCAACTATTTTTTTGTTGTTGTTTTTTACTAATTAAATCATTTAACAGATATCTATCCATACCCTAATCTTCAGAGGGCAAACAGCAAGCAAATATCTATGCTCATGAGCAACATCTCATTGAAGTGATTAATAGATTCATTCACAAGGCAGAAAACAAATATTTGTACTCTCTGAGTTTCTTCTTACCTCCACAACTTCCTCATATTCTTCTTCCTCCATTTTGAGGGTATTCTTCTGTCTCTCCCCCACTCACTGGTCATGCAACAAATGAAAGTGTGAATACACAGTATTAGCCCAAGACTGAAAGTGCTATGAAAAGCTACTAGTCAAGTTCATAAAGTGCCTGGGTCACGGTTAGTAACTAGTCAGATTATTATGATATTGTTGGCTAATCAGTGAAGAAACTTGAACAACAGAGAGAACTAAAGTTGGGATCTGGCATTACTTTGTTTCTGACTGTTATGGGAAAGCATTGGATTAAGTTTCAAACATACTGATATAAATTACAACTTTGGCCAAATACTTTATTCTAGTAGTTGTAACATCAATACCGGAATTCAATGAAAATAACAAATAAACAAAAAAAATAGAGGAAGAGATTTCTTGAAGTATGATTTGATTATTTTCATTACAACAAAAGTATTTGAAGAACTTTTCTCTGTGAGTATTCTATACTGTTTCATTACATTATTCAAGCTCCTGTTTGAATGGGAACTTTATCTGTATATTCTACTATATTCATTCACAAGTAAAAGCATAATATAGAAAAAGATTGTAAATATTTTTTTTAAGTGACCTTAGGTTAATGAGGCAATTTCTGTCTTCCCAGCATTAGCCTATACAGATGCTCTGGGGGTTTTTTTTCAGTTCTTGTGGCTTTTTTCTCTCTATTTCTTCAGACCTGGAAAATAGGAAAATCCATACAGTTGGCTGAATTACAAAGTACAGATTACTGTCAAAACCTTTAAAGGAATTAATTAACACAATGATTTTGCTATGAGGCAAAGCTACAATTTTCCACCAGAGACTACAGCCCTGTTTCTAATGTTGGTAGGGGATGAGGCTTTGGAACAGCTGTTCCTGAGTCCAAAGATATTTGCCATGTAAGCTAATAGTACCAAATGACGGGGTGGTTTTGTTTAGCTGGCTAAACTGCAATTCCTTCTGAGGCAAGTGAAGTCTAGTAATGCAGGTTAAATATAGGAACATAGAATACTGTCCCTTTTTAGTTCCAATGTGTTGAGAAAAATTACCAAAAAAAAAAAAAAAATCAATTTGTTAAGCCAGAATGTTAACTATGAAAATAAATTAAGAATAACTCAATTAATAAGCAGTATGTTGTGTGAAAAAGGAGGCCAAAGTTTATGAATAAACCCAAGAAGTAGGGATTGCATATAAGGGTACGACCTATACAAATTGTCACTATTATAACCTTCAGCTGTGCTTCCAAAACACAAGTCCAGGTCCTTTCCTCATACTGCAATTTGCCACTAGTCAGCCAGACAGAAAATCTGACTTCCATGGACAAAGCACGACTACTACTCCCAAAAAACTACAGAATCAGGAAACAACTGAAGATCCTATTCTAAGGAAAAGCAGTCAAATGGGTTGAAAATGTTCTTACCAGCAACATCTAGTAAATATCCTTAGGAGCAAAGCCTCTCCAGTCTTCCCTCCTGACCAGCACTGGGTGAGAGCGAGCCTGGTGCTTCGGCTCCTAATTACGCATGTGGCTAGCACAGCCAATCTGGCTCCAGCCCGCTCAAGTTTCAGCCCTAAATATACTTGGTGACCCCGGAGGAGGCCACCTGTTCTCGGCAACATGAAGGAAAAGGGAGCTGGGTGCTTCTGTGCTCCCGAGGAAACCCAAAACACACCAGAGCTTGACTGAACTTCACCAGCTCTCTGCTGAAATGGATCCCTAGGCAAACCCAAGGAAGAACTCAAATGGTAAAAATATGCACATTTGCTTCT